AAGCTCAGTGAACCCAACTACTATGTTGTATGCTGGTTTTGTGCTACAAGCTTGATATTCCCTATGTAGGGATGGCCATGCACAGACAGATATCTGTTCGAGAATGACAGGCAGCAGGTATCTGACCTCCATGAAGCACCAGTACTTACTATGCTTCTCTCAATGAAAATACAAGTGCTACTACGTTTCTTCCCTCAGCAGGGGATTAGGCCTCATTCACACAGGGCATATCCATCCATGCCCCGTGTGATGACCGTGTATCACACAGGATGCAAAGTTGTTCCATGCATCCCCATGTGGGCAGTTCCATTAAATTCAATAGGGATGCAATGGCTGCATGGACATAGTCACATGTACAAATTCAGCAGTGTCTGCCTTTAAATTGGATCACCCACATCTATGGACTGCTAGCAGCCCTTAGGTGGATGCCAATGCCGCAAAAAAGAGGCTAGCATGAAAGATGTATCTCATCTCCTGTCTGAATGAGCCCTAAGGGAAATTCATCAAAACTGGAGCAGCCAGAATCTAGAGCAGTTGTGCATGGCAACCAATCAACTCAGAGCTTTATTTTCAAAGTTTAACTGAACAAACTGAAGATAGAAGCTTATTGGTTACATGCACAGCTGCTCCAGTTTTGATAAAGTCCCCTAACTATGTTTTCCATTTCATACGCCTGACTAATGCACTCTAAGAACATCACATTCTTTGTTAAGGTCGGCTATGTGTAGAAAAACATATGTAATAGAACAGTTTTATTTTATTACAATGAGCGAACTGAGGTTCGTATATGTCTGTTACACAAAAAGAGAAAAAAGAATATACTGGACAGCAGTCTATGGACTTTATGGACATTTAGACTGAGGACGTGGCACCTGTTTACCCAAGCTTTGCCTTTCCACCCAGTACGGTCTCGTCCCTTTTTCTTTTGCTTACTTAGTATGTTTGTTACACACTCACTTGTAGTACAGTCCCTAAAGCATATGCCCCTTTAAGCCCCTCCCACTGTTGACGCAATTTGACCACACTCACAATTTGACATGCTGTGCGCCCTGCTATTTTACCACGTATCAGTTTTTTCATGGGGGGGGGGGGGGGCACAACAAAAATGACTAGTCCTGGGTGCCTGATGTTTTAGGTATGCCACTGACTAGGCTGGAATGTATTGTTGCCCAACACACAGTTCTGCATTTGTTGAGACTTCCAGTGCTTGCACATGAACCCCGAACATGCAACAGAGAGCCACCACCTTGCCTATTCCTTGTCTAGGTGGGCCTGGTTGAAGTGGGGGAATAGAAGGCAGGGTGCCTTGTATGCTTGTATAGGCCACTTGCAAAAAGTAGTAAACGACTGTAGTCACAAAAATGAAGGCTAACATCAGTGAGGATACTGTTGAGATCAGTGAAAGAAGACTTGGGATGTTGAAGGGTTTTTTTTAACAAAAATGTTTTGCAACATTGTTGAGATCTGCTGCAGCAGTAAACTTAAAATGTTACTAAACCCTGGACCCTGCATTCACTATATTCAGTCTTCCACAGTACATGGAAATGCAATAATTATTTTAGTAAATATAAACTGCTGAATACCTTTTCTCATCAGCAATATATAACAATCTTGTGACTTCTATCAGTGTACGGATGAGCACTGGTTAATCTTGTATGAGGAGTTTTCATTCTCCTCTGACTGTCCTATGAGGCTACATGACCCCTGACCATTTGTGTGGACAGTGCTGATTGGCCCTGTGCCGATCACATGCACCCTCCCAAAAACAAACTCTCTAGCAAAACACACCAAACAGAGCTTGTGCAGAGCTGCCGCTGCTGCTCTGTACTATGGCAGATGGGTTGAGGACAGTAAAAGAAGGGAAAGATCAGAGAAGACAAAGAACCTTTTTACACAATGCAGAGGATTAACCCCTTAGGTTCCACAGTGAGTATAACCAGCATGCTTTACTACTTATACAGACTGATTTTACTGTGGTGGGTTTAGTAACACTAAGTACTGTGAAGTTTTGTAATGTAAAACTTTTGTAATTCAGTTATCATCAGTATTACAGTTACTACAATTATATATCTGTTCTTCTACAATATTAATTTGAATAATAAACCTGTATCTGCATATTGTTCAGTTACTTGAACAGCCTATGATATCCCATGGTGACAGGAATGCTTCCACAAACCAAGCTTTTTTTTTTTTATGGGAAGGGGGAGACATCAATGGGACAAACTAAAAAAAAAAAAAAACCTTTTTAGCTGCTATTGCAATATTCCAAGATAAGTGTCATTGGCACTGTGTACCCGTACCGTCTTTCCCCTCGGCACTGAGTAGACCTTGATATCTTAGGGAACTCTCCAAATATTGCTGCCTTAAAGTGGTCAAAGCCTGCAGCTTTTTAAGTGATCTCTTTTTGTTTACTTGTATAATGCAAACATTTTGGGGTCAGTCTGCTAATCATGGATCCCAGTTGCCCAACGGATAACATTCAAAACTCAAACAATGACATATAAAGCCATCCACAACACTGCCCCAATTTACATAACCGATATTATCTCTAAATATCACCCAAACTGTACACTCCGCTCCTCGCAAGACCTCTTACTCTCTAGCTCCCTTATCTCCTCCTCCCATGCTAGTCTCCAAGACTTCTCCAGGGCGTCACCCATCCTCTGAAACTCCCTACCCCAATCTATCAGACTATCACCTACTCTACTTGCCTTTCGGCGATCACTGAAAACCTTTCTCTGCAGGGAAGCCTATCCCGCCCTCTGCTAATTCTGGAATCCTCTACTCTTCCAACCACCCCATCCCCCACAGCAACTACCTACTGTACCATTCACCCCTCCCTCCTAGATTGTAAGCTCCAAGGAGCAGGGCCCTCAAATCCCTCTTGTATTGAACTGTATTGTTACTGTATTGTCTCCCACTATAATGTAAAGCGCTGAGCAAACCGTTGGCGCTATATAAATCCTGTATAATAACAATAATAATAATGAATGCCACACAGCTCACTTGATTCCAATGAGATTCTTAAGGTACCGATATACAATGGTAGATCATACGTGGTGATCTACAGTATATCTATGGACCTTTTTGTCCACAGCAATTTTCCTGTCTGATAAATCTTGCATTTCTTGGCAGAACATTATTATTCCTCTAAAGTAGGGGAGACATCAGACATGTCTGCAAAGCACAGTAAGCTCAAGCAACATAACCATTTTATTATTTAGAGTGACTGAATGTGAGGAAGAAGACTCTCCAACAGGGACACAACCGTCACAAAGAAAATTGTTAGTACGGTAGAACCTCCTCCAGGTTTAAATTGCTGTCCCTGTTGGAGATTTCTTTTCAGCTTGTGCTTATTAGGTTTTTGTTGTGCTTGTAGGTGATAATGAGCTCCTTGGGCAGTATTGCAGAGGAAGATTTTTCAATCTCTTGTAAAATTTCTCAGGTGGCAGCTCAGGGTCATCCAGTCATCTAAGGAGAGGAAACAACGGTCAAATGTACAGTATATTGTGTGTACGACTGGCAGCATCCAGCAAGTATCATTGGGAATCCCATCATTTGTTTGGAAAATATGAAGGTGGACATATATGTCCCCAACCATCATTCTGGATTAGATAGCTGTCTGTTTGGGAGCTGCCTAACACAGATCATTTATATGCACATCGATTACATATTTTCAGAAAGGTCAACAAACACAAATGGCAAAGATGGGGGAATAGGACACAAGTGGCCAATGATGGGTAGCAGTTGTATGTTGGTGGTTTCTGGTACTCATTTGTTGAATAGTGCATTAAAGTAGTTGTAAACCCTTAGATATACCCAGTTAAGTGAACAGCCTCAGTCAATAGACACACAATTCCTTGTATAAATTGTACCTGATTACCTGTAGCCATCTCTTACCCTCTGCTGTTCAAAGTACAGTATTTGTACAGCTTCTGTGAGCTTTCAGAAAGTAGGGGATGAAAAGCTGATGTTTAAACTCTGCAGAGCTCAGAGTGAGCTGATTGGAGGGAGGATAGACACCCTACTTCACACAGGAACGAGTTGAGGCTGTCAATCATAGGCTGTGTGCTTGAGATCCCTCCCCTGTCACCTTTTTCTCTCTTGGTGTCAGGAAACCTTGTCAGAAATGACTCATGAAGATAGCAGAGGAAGGAGGCAGCATGCAGAAATGACACTTAGTGCTTTGGATTCAGACAAGCACACAATGTAGCAAGATATGCTTTGTTCATATTTCATATCAGAAGTTTACAAACCGCTTTTAAGAGTGAATCTGTTAAAGCAAATTTAAAGGGAAGCATTGTACTATATTAAGGTATCACTGTGCTGAAAACATAAAGGTTACATTATATGCGTTTTTGAAGGCCTACCAATAACACCAAGAGTTTACTGAATTAATTTGATAAACATCCGCAGAGCCTCAATCAAACTTGCCAAATTCTGTGTAAAATAATTAAATCCTATAATTTTCAGTGCCAGCTTGTAGGCATAATGCACTTTCTTTCATGACTGAGGCATATTAAAAAACGTACCGCATTAGGGCCACCTGATGGGGCTTACAATTATATTACAGAGAATACAGCAAGTTTTGTTGGAGCTGTGTGGATGTTTGCCCTATTTGTTCAGCAAATATTTTATACATAGACCCCTTGAGTTATGTATGAGAAAAACCTGTTCAGAGACATCTGATATTTTATCTCCTTGCTAGTTCCCTGGCATGTTATTTTGATTTTTTTCTGTAATGTTTGAGTCACTAACCCCGAACAAGTATAGAGATAGGTTGTTCTGACATTTCTCTGATGCCCAGTATGCTTGTTCCAGGATTGTGATGGAAACATAACAAAGTAAGACAGTCTAGCCTGACTATCGACACAGAGACGCTTAAATGGAATTCTGCTCAATGCTATCTTTCATCTTCATTCCTGAAGCCTCACTTTACACGAAGGAGGAAAGAGTAAGCATAGACCCATTTTAATTTTTTTAGAGTTAATATATTATACTCATACCTTAAATTCCTCCAGGATTTTATAAGTCTTCCCATGATATTCACAAAAGTTTTTCACTTCCTTACACTCCGGACAACATCCATTGTGTTCCACTTTAGTGCATTTGGGGTGAATTTTGGGACACTCTGGCTGATCACAAACAGGTCCATCCTCTGTACAAACACAAGGACAGTTAGAGTGGCCTGGGAAAAATCTCTCCCCTAGTTTATAGACAAATCCACTGTCGTCCACACAGCCTTTGCCCCTGTAGTCATCAAATATTAAGTTGTCATTGCTGGACGCCTGTTCGCCTTCATCGGCAGGATAATCCTCCTGATTGATTGAAGCAGATGATGCTGAAGCCATGATTGCCAAAAGAATCATGGAGACTGCAGAAATATGAAGAGCCATCCCCCAATGTCAGGCTTCGTTTGTGCCACTCCACTAGGAACTGGATCCAGCTGCTGCCATGTGGGCTGAAAGCAAAGCAACATGACAACTGAATACAGCATTAAGCCATTAAAATGCTTATGTCAGCAATAAAGAACAAGAAAAACACTGACTCCCAACACTGTAAGTGGCTTGATTACAAACCTGCAGTAACATAGATTTCAACACTTATGGACTTCTTTAAACTTCAGTTATATAAAGTGTTACTAAACCCAGGACCCTGCATTCACTATATCTGGTCTCCCACAATACACAGAACATGGAAGTGCAATTATTTTAGTAAATATAAACTGCTAAATACCTTTTCTCATCAGCAGTTAGAGCAGTCTTGTGACTTTATCAGTGTTCAGCCGAGCACATGTTAAAGCTTGTAGTACGAGTTTTCATTCTGCTCTAGGAGGATGCAGGACCCCTGACTTGTCTAGAAAGTACTGATTGGCTCTGTGCTGATCTCATGCATTTTCCCAGTTAAAAAAAAAACAAAACTCTAGCAATACACACTAAACTGAGCATGTGCAGAGTGACTCCACATGATATGTTTTATGAGGAGATAAGAGGGGGGTACTAGAAGAAGGGGAGGATCATAGAAGTCAGGATCAAACAGCTTTTTTAGACAATGCAGAGGATTAACACCTTAGGTTCCACAGTGAGTATAACAAGCATGCTTTACTGCATATACAGACTGATTTTACTGTTGTGGGTTTAGTAACACTTTAATGTGAAACAGAGCACAAAGCAGAGTACCTTAGCATTCAAATATATATATATTGGTTTAAAGCACAATTTTAAGAAATATACCTTCTCTTCCAGGCAAAGCAGCAAAGTTGCTCAGACATTTGTTCTGAAAAATATACAGGTAATCTGAATAAACAACACCAAGTGAAGTAGTCCTATTACTATTTAAGTATATACCAAATCATCACAAAGTAAAGTAGGATTAATTCTTTATAACGATACTTTAAAGTGACTCTGTGCTTTGTCCATGCAGGTTCTCTTTAACCAAGACCTCCACTGTCACATATCTTTAGCTTTCTTTTGCCCCCCACCACTCCAATGTTGTCTCATTAAGTAAGTGATCTGCTCCTCATTGTTTGGATATTTTCTTCAGCTCTTTGCATGGAACACAGGAAAAGGTGATTGTATGCTGTTGGTATAAAGGGATAAAAGCAAACATGATGCTTTTCCCAAACATGTAAAATTATTCAACCCCCAATGTACCAAACATAGGTTTGCTTTAAACCCAAATAAAAAATGCTGGAGCCATTGCATTGCCTTCCTTCACTCTCCCTCCCAATATATGTCCTCCATTACCAACCCTAGGTCAACTGGAACATCCTACATTTGCTGTAGCTTCCACTAGCTTAGATGACTCTTTTGTCCTTTTTACTTGGGTTGCATGATTCCCTAGAGCCTAAAGCAGCCTGCAATGAGATTACTTCTCTGGTAAAGTCTATGGAGAAATGGTATGAACATTACACTGTGGCCTGCAAGTTTATTGAAGAGGACTGAGGAGCCCACTGAGCTGGCATCATGGCTGGTGAATCACCAGCTGATCTGAGGTCCATGCTGGGCTATATTTATGGTATGTGGAGGGGGAGAGGGTAGTATTGTTATCCTTCAACTTTTTTTCTTTATGCAGTTATACTAGGCATGTACACTTCAGGAATGTTCATTTTGTTTAATTTCAGATGCACAAGTTCATTGAAGAATTCTGTTTTGTCATATTCGTTATGTTGACCCGATTTGTGTCATTTTATTGTGCATCTTTGGCATTCATTTCATACATTCGTTGGTCCTGGTGGATTAAAATTTTTTGCAGTGTTCCCGCAAGATTGCTATATATATTGATATATTATCGAATCGGATAAATTTGAATCAGAAAGATTTAAATATTTTCAGACTGTAGTCCAACCCAGCAAGAGAAATGGCATGAACTGATTGGACAATATTGACTGGTAAGATGCTCCAGATGATGTCATGATGAAACGAGTAGGGCGGGATTTGTTAGCATCACATCTGGTCCTTGAGAGAGAGCACAGAGGTATTGCAGTGTCCTAGGATTTTTAAAATGCCATACAAATGCTTATATGTAAGTGCAATTTTAAGTGTTTTATACCTAGTAAAAAAAACAGTATTACGCTATGAAAACTTTCTTTTGATTGTTTTTCATGGTAGTGGAGGAGTAGTGTGGATGGTCTGGATTGTTTTTCATATATTGAGTCCATAACCAGTGGATAGAGGCCACAGGAAGATGTTCATTATAGGGGCTTGCGGAAGAACCAAATGCTCAGTTTGACCTACCTATGCAGGTGGTCGACATCTTGTGGTGAGTGGGGCTCTGGAGGGGGAGCACTAAGAGGAGCACTCAACACAAAGACCTTTACGGATAAGAAGATTGATCACTGAATCACTTAGTATCACATGGGATGTGAATGTGAAAAGTTTTTTTACATTGGGACTTTATATATTTGAATGTGAAAGTGGTGCCCTGGGGCTTTATATTTGTACACAAGTGTACTGCATGTATGTACATTAATCCCTTTTTTTTAATGTTTCATTTGAAACCAGTTCATATTGGGAGGACTGATGTCCACGATTATTGTACTATTTGCACATCTATTTGCACAATATTGCACTAATATGGCAAGTTTTTAGTATTGGTTTATGCACACACGGTACATAGGTATGCAAACTTCCCCCTAATTACAGGGATGCACTGAGACCCTGGGGAGGAAGGGTGCACACAAGGCATAGTATGCTCTATATGGTATACAGTCACTTATTTTCTTTGTCTATTAATTTGTGGGCCACAAACATGAATATTGTGTGGCACGGTTAATCACAAGTGGCAGCGCTGCTTTAATTTATGATTATATGCATACAAATTGGCAAACAAATGAAATTTGGATCCATTCGTTATCTGAATGTGAATTATTGAATGAATTCACAAATTGAATTAATTTCCCCATGAGCCCAAACTACTATCAAATCATGTGATGTCACAAACAAATGAAACACATGCATTTGTTAATTTTGTTATAACTTTTTTTTTTATTCATTGACATTTGCTACTATGAACATTCGGAAATTTGTATACAAATTAAATTTTCATCTGAAAAACTAATCATAACAAAAGATAGACTAATATGTTTTTAACTACATAAATTGTACTATAAAGACATAATGTACTGCTAATCATTACAAAGAAGAGCACTGTGACGTTTATGGGTTTAAAAATCTGGAGCATTAAAGAATAAGTTCACCTTTTGTAACATGTTACACCATATTCAAGTTATAATATGTAACATCTTACAAATGCACCAACCCCTGCACCCCCTCAATCCCCCTGTAGTGAGCGCTAGTGGGGGATCTTTTCCCACTGCTGGATGTCACAATCTAAAAAAAATGTGGGGCTTTGCCTGCTCGGCTCTGTCATTCTGTGAATGGGAACACTACAAGTCCCAACAGTCTTTGCAGCTGTCAGCTTGTAGTTCTCAATGAACTGCCAGGGTATTGTTGAGTGCTCTAGGTAGTTCATTGAGCATCCTTTAAGAGTGTAAAGTTCATTGAGCATCCTTTAAGAGTGTAAATGCCTGCCATTACCGGAGGAACTGGCAGACAGATACATAGACAGTCTGCAGGACCTGCAAAAAAAGTGCATTTATTACAATTATTATTATTATAGTTTTTGTTTTTAAGTGAACTTATCCTTTAAGTCCTATGAAGAACAGTGTAGAGAATAATGAGGAACCTGTTTCCTACCAAATATGGTTTAATTACAGTAAAGAAAGTATATATATATATATATATATATATATATATATATATATGAGCTATGAGAACCATTCCTCTATAAATGTATGGCAGTAATTGTTACTTGGTTTTACTAGAATGCTATAGAAGTTGATTAACATATTTTTTGAAAAGGGAGAGATGGGAAATACCCATTGCTCCAAGACTATATTTACCATGAGGTACTGACAGCTCAATGTATAGGGCAGAAGACGAAAGTACAACAGCTGTGCTTTAGCACTTCTTTTATTTAAATGAAAATATGAGGGTGGTGCTCTGTCAATGAAAGCAAGGCACTTTCTAAGTGGCTTACCCTGTGTTTTATTTATTTATGTATGTATGTATTTCTTTTGCCCTCTCACGCTCCAAATGAGGTGACCTCAAAGACTGCTAACAGAGCAACGTGTAGAAAGGTGAAACATGCAGTTACTGAGTGATTTACAACTACCTGGATTCTTCAGCTCAGGTGCAGCATAAAAAAAACAAAAAACAAAAAAAAAAACCTAAATGCATATAATCTGATGCTATGTTAATTTACTGACAATTCTATCCTGAATAGGGTTCACCTTTAATGTGCATTACATGTTTAACTGAATGACTGAGAGTTTAAAACCTGTCTTTTGTTGGTAACCACAGATAAAATATTGCAAACATTAAAAAGCAAGGGAGAGATTATTCCATTCTGTTGTTCCATTCTGGGTCTCATTGTAAAATGGAAGATTGACAGGTGTAATTCCCAGGAGCTGCTACAGTAGCGTTTTATTGGGCTCATCTCTATAATGAACATGTGGCATTTCATTGTGTGCCAATGTATAAATCATACAGGACAGGATTTGTCAAACCCGCTAAACAATAATGATAAAATACCCTAAACCTATACAAAGTTTATTATTCTGTAGCTTTTATTTGTCCATAAACCTTGCAGTGACATTGTCCTATTGTACTTCATCAGTAAATGTATCTCTTTGTCAGTTTTAACCTCCATCCCTTTACTGAACACTGAAGCATGTGCATATTATTCAACACATTAAATTCACTGCAGTTATACATGGCTAACTCATTTAATCACCCCTTATTAATTATGAATATGATGAATTATTGAATAAATTGTAAGTCCTCTTCAATGACTACAGAGAATAGGAGGACGATCTATACAGATTCATTCAGCT